CTGAATACTTATGACCCTGTGATATTTCAGTTTTTCTTTTTTAATAAATCTGCAAAAATGTCAAAAATTCTGTGTTTTTCTGTCAATATGGGGTGCTGTGTGTACATTAATGAGGAAAAAATGAACTTAAATGATTTTAGCATATGGCTGCAATATAACAAAGAGTGAAAAATTTAAGGGGGTCTGAATACTTTCCGTAACCACTGTATATTAAAAAAAATATATATGGATGATTTTTGAAAAAGCTGGGGAATTACCAAAACAAATAACCAACAAAGATTTTAATATCCATTAATGATTTAATATGCACAAGCTATAGAGGATTGTATGAATGAATTCACAGCTCATAAAATAAAATTCTCATAGTCTGTCTCATATGTTTATCCTTTTCTGTATGTCTTGTTTTGTATGAGACATTAAAAAAATGCTTGTTTTCAGATCAGTATCACTTGGGTCCTTCATTTTCTTTTCTTTTTTATTACTTTCTGAGAAATGACCATTTCAATGGTATTAATGTTGGTACAGGGGAACCTTGGATTGTGAGTAACCCGGTTTGCAAATGTTTTGCAAGACGAGCAAAAAATTTTGATTCAATATACGAGCGAGGTCTCGCAATACGAGTAGTAAGTAGGCTTTGTCTGCCAAGTGTCACGTGACGTACCTCACAACTGAGCAGATGGTTCTTGTGTTTTACTCGTATAGTCAATATCTGTACTGCAACAATGGTCCTTCACGCCAGCCACGATTCTTTTCAAAGGTAAAGTGCAGGTTAATTTGTTTTATTTTTACTTTATACTGTATTTTTTATTACTGTAATCATTTTTATATGAATAAGTGGGTGTGGAACGAATCATCTGAGTTTCCATTATTTCTTATGGGGAAATTTGCTTTGATAAGTGCTTTGGCACGAGCACGTTGCTGGAACGAATTATACTTGCAGTCCGAGGTTCCACTGTATATAGGTTTATTGTTTAGATTCAGTTTTTTTATGGCCTTTAAATAATATTCAATTTTTCTGTTACCAACAGTTTGTGTCTAACAGAATGCAATGTAAGGAATGTACAATCACAAGATAAGTAATGGCACTGCTTGCAGTTTCAAATCAAATGAAATCAAATTTTATTTGTATAGTGCCAAATCACAACAAAAGTAATCTCAGGACACTTTACAAAGTAAAGTCTAGACCTTACTGTTATCAATATTATTACATAGGGAAAACCCAACAAATCCCCCTTGAGCAAGCACTTGGCGACAGTGGGGAGGAAAAACTCCCTTTAATGGAGGAAACCTCCGACAGACCCCAGCTCTTGGTGGGCGGCCTTCTGCCTCGACCGGTTGGGGTGAGTGGATAGAGGAGAGACAAAAGAAGAAAAGCAACAAGACACAACAATCAAACACTGATCAGGTCGATGTGGCTGGTGACTGCTCGTCAGAGACATAGAGCTCCAGGGCCAGGGCAACCTGCAGAAAGGTACAGGGAGAGAGAAAGGAAACACTACGGGAGAGAGGAGACACAAAGTTAGTGATGTGTAATGGTGG